GGCCCTAGAGACTTAAAATTAAAATCAATGGTTTCCTTGTTTTTTAAAACTATATATATATATATATATATATATATATATATATATATATATATATATATATATACACATACATACAAAAGAAATATACTCTTAAGGTGTGCTATATTTATGGGATAAAGTGCTCTTAAATGAAAACAAGCAAAATAATCTAATCCAAATAAATAAGTTCTGCCAAAATAGACTACCCACAATGCACCACTGACCCATATATATAAACAGCCGAGAAAAAAAAAAAAAAAAAAAAAAAAAGATTGCATCTAGCATGAAACAGCCTGTCACCTCTAAGTGTTGACTTGAATGTTCAAGTTTTATATATATATATATATATATATATATATATATATATATATATATATATATGTATATGTATATTTCATTGAATATGAATAGACAAGGTCATTTGATTTAGGTTTTTTTTTTTTTTTTTTTACAATTTGTCATGTAATACTTTTTTTGTGAGGATAAATTGTATAAAAACTGTTGAGTTTTTTTCAGAGTTCTTTTAGCTATACATTTAGTCATTTTCAAGGTTGGAATATATTAACTTTTAACAAGAAATAGATTGTTGTATGTATATATGCATTTATATAGTGTTTCATTTTCTAAATACACTGAAGATATTGTGTCCATGTTCATAGTTGCAATTGAGTGTTTTTTGTTTTTATTAATAAGTCTTCCATAATTTTTAGCTTTTTTTTTTCCTCATGTAGATGATGCTATTACATTTGTTAATAGAAACAAAAAAAAAAAATCAACACTCAATAATATCAACTTCAAACATGGATACAATAAGCAGTTAATACATTTCAACCTTGAAAATGGATAAAAATGCAAAGTTTTGATGAGGTTTATCTTCTGCTTCTTTGAACAAAAGAAATCCCAATGGATGTACCAAAACAATCGAGTACAACGCACTAATACATCCTGAAAAAGCAAGTTGAGAAATTCTTTCTTGACCATAAACCTCAAAGCTGAATGAAGACTATTGAGAGAAGAGAGAAATTGATCCACTTTAGCTTCATTAAATAAACAAAAGGTATTGTTAACATACTGACAATAGAGGACGAAGTGAACTACAAAGCACTCTTATGAAAACAAACATTTGTCTGTGCAGGGCCTAAAGGGGAACCCATAGCAACACCAATCTTGATACATGTCATCAAAGCTAAATTCGGTACACACACGTACCCACAAAAAAAAAAAAAAAAAAAAAAAAGTATAGATGTCTCCCCTCCTGCCATCTAAACCCACCCAAAGCCTTTAGACTTTTGGCCAACAAAATATTTAAAAAAATATTCATGATTTGTAATAAGCTTTTCCATTTAGGATTATTAAATGTAGTTTTTATTTAACATGTAAAAATTACTCTAAATTTAGAAAAAGAATGATTCTTATAAAAATTCATTGTAAAGAATTAAGACAACACTGTGCTAAACATGTATCTTATTTATAAAATTAAGTTTTTTCTAATTAAATAATGGCATAGTTTTAATTTATGAATAAGTTATCACAATCTTACAATTATTCGATTTGTGCAAGAACTTTGACTGTAAAGAGGAGAGAAAAAAAAAGAAAATAGATTAGAGAAAAAACAAAAAAAAAAAAAAAAAAACAAACAAAAAAACAAACACAAAGTGAAAAAGATGAAAAAAAAAGAAAAAGAAAGAGTGGTGGGCATCCATTAAAGGGAATAAATAAGAAAATCTACAAATCTTAAGATATTTAATTAGATGTTTTAGAAATGGCTTAAGTCAGTTCAGGAAAAAAAAAAAAAAATTAAAACATTCTATCAAATTTTAGTCTCCAATGTGGTCACATCAAGAAGTCCAAGTTAACACCCCAAGTTAACCAAGTTCGTAACTTAAGCAGCTTACTCCCCCCCCCCGCTCACAATCTCGAACTGCCATATTGGATTCTGCTGTGTTAGCATTTATATCTAGGTCAGCAGATTTATAGCCTCAAGGTTTAGCATTCACTGAAACAACTTATGTATTTTAAATGGGTCCATGACAAGTTATAATCCCAACACACTTGTCTTGAGACATTGTGATAACATTATGTAGAGTCGGGAGAGAGGGAAATATCTATCTACAACATTTAACTGTTGTGGGGGGGGGGAACTCTTGAGAAATTTTTTTGTCTAACAATCTGTTTTCCATAAAATTAAGTTCTATAAAGGCAAATCTTATGGAGAAGAAAATCTATAATGAAACTATCTTTTATTGACAATGTTAAAAAACAAATTACAACTATAAAAAGGTAAATGTTATTTCTAGAGTCAATTCAGATGACATTTGCTTTAATGAGATCTGAGCTCATATAAATAGATTTTGTCTTCAACTATTTTTGCTCTTGATACTGGCATCTTTAATAAATTGGAAACTTCAATTTTTACAGAATACTGAACTTTTACAGAAGGAGGAAATATCTGGGGACAGGTCAGCAAATATCTTCAGGATAAGTAGAAAAATGGTGAATATAGTTCTCCCCAGGGCTGGCTCAATATACTGGTAACTCAGGCAGTTGTAGAATGCTGCTATAATCCTTGCCTTCAGTTCATCTTTGGTGTTACAAGGAATTTTGTTGGTCTCTCGCTCAATTACATCCCACACAATCAAGGGGGTTGCAATCTGAGGAGTTAGATGGCCTGATCTAAGGAGTAATGTGGTCACAAATTGTTTGACAGCCATTGCTGGGTTCACCCGCTTGTGACATGGTGCAGAGTCCTGTTGCCAGACATAGGGTCTTCCAGCAGCCGCCCTCTTGTCCCAGGGCTTTGTAATCACCATTAGATTCATCCAACTCTTTCCAAATCCTCTGAACTGTCCTCAGATTGAGGTCCAAACACTCAAATGTTTGTATTTGGGCCTCCAGCATGAATGCCAAACAATACAGCATGCCATTTCCAAGTTTCTGACAGAGTGAAAGGAAAGATACAAAATGGCAACAATTTACTCACATCTCTATGAATATTTTCTTACCATTATAGAATTATTTTTGCTTCAGTAAAGTTTTTACTAAAAATTTATTTTTTTAAAATTAGTTCTATTGTATATGTTTGTCTGAAAAGCATCATTTTTCATTAAGGATATAGTTTACGGATTTGGAATAATGATTTCTAAAGTATATATCTGTCATATTCACAGACTGTTTTGCTGTATCACAGCTCCTCAGTGTAGCTAGACATCAGATTGCATCAAGCTGGGATCAAAACCCAACTCATTTGACATTAGTCAGATATCTTACCTCTAGGCTATCATCGCACATTGGAAAGGGAGGGAATTTTAACATCCCCTCCCCCTATACAAAATACGGTGTATGGACATGCCCTGGTGCCTATGAACCAAACCCTAGCTATGGATCAAATAGCCCCGCTGCCTTGTGGAAATCTTCGGGAGAAAGAAGGCCAAGGAGTAAACCCTACACAAATCCGGAGTGGCACCCCTAAGGCAGATGGACAGCACTTTGTGCTACCTTCCAGCAACCACACTGGTACCAAACTATTGGTTTATCCTCTCCTTTGGACTCTGCTAGCAAGGCTGAGAGGGGGAACTAGACATCCGGGCAGCCCTAGTTCTCCATACATCCTGCCCAGGCTCATAGCGCATTGGAGAGGACACTCCAGCGACATTGCAAGACATTGGCACAACGGGAAGTGACAGTCACCGGTCAAAAGCCCAACCCGATTGGCATAGGCTATGGGTGTCTGGGGTCATCTCCATCTCCGTCGATGGGAGGGATCATCGTGTCTCACTGGACAGCTACCACTTGGTGCTGTCCCGCAACAGCTTGGCTGCTCTACTGGGTGTGTAGGGCTCAGGGACCGATCCTCCCAACAAGTTGTAGATGACATCCAACAGATTGATGATGCTCGAAAGACTGAGGTCATAGACAGGGAACTCTCAAGACTGGGTATTGACATCGCCTGCCTGCAAGAGACTCATCTGGCTGACAGCAGTTCCATCAGAGAGGCCAACTAACTTCTGGCAGGGCCTGCCTCAGAATGACCCAAGGCAACACAGCGTAGGATTTGCTGTGAAGAACTCGCTGATACCAGCCATTGAACCACCGACTGGCGGATCTGAGAGAATCCTAGCACTGCACCTCAACAGGTTTTGCCAACATCCTATGTGCCACCCCAGAGGACAGGGACCAGTTCTATGAGGCACTGGATGTGACGATATCCAAGAACTGAATACTGAAGGATTATACCTACTAGGAGACTTCAATGCTAGAGTGGGAGCTGACTGTGACACGGCCCTTCTGCCTTGGCTGTCAGGGCGTAGGCAAGATGAATGAGACTGGACAGCAGCTGCTAGAACTGTGCTGCCACCACGAACTGTGCATGATGAACACCTACTTCAAGTGCAAAGAACACCACAAAGTCTCTTGGAGACCCCCCCCATTCATGACACACTGGCACCAGCTCGACCTTTTCATCACCAGGCGTGCAGACCTAAGGAGCATTCTTCACATTGAGCTTCCACAGCGCAGCCTGTGAAACTGGCCACTCCCTAGTAGGCTGCAAAGAGAGACTGACAGCCAAGAAAATACACTGCTCTAAAACCAAGAACCTCCCTCGCATCAACACTTGTTGCTCCAATGACCCTGAGAGTTCTTGCCGCTTCCAAACCACCTTTAGCACGAAGGTTGATGCATCCTCCTTCAGTGCCACTGACATCAACAGCAGATAGCACCAACTTTGTGATGCCATATACACCTCAGCCCTTACTGTGTTTGGGAAGAAAGATCATTGAAACGTAGACTGGTACGAAGCTCACTGGGATGAGATGCAGCCAAGAGACAAGCACTTCTGGTCTACAAGCAAAACCCTTGTGTCAGTACCCACTATGCCCTCAGAGCTGCTCACAGCAAGGCCAAACAGACTGCATGCTGCTGCACCAACAACTACTGGCTGAACCTGTGCAGCAGGATCCAGAGAACTGACGACAGTGGAGATGCAAGAGGCACGTATGCCAGCATCAAAACTGCCACACTCCTATCAAGACGGCTCCACTGAAGTCCAAGGCAGGAGAGGTCATTACAGACCAGGGAAAGCAGCTGGAGTGCTGGGTGGAGCACTATCTGGAGCTGTATGCAGCCCAGAATGTGGTGACGAATGCCGCCCTGGATGCCTTGCCCAGTCTCCCAGTCATAGAGGAGTTGGATGCCGCGCTCTCTGCAGAGGAACTCGGAAAAGCCATCGACTGTCTCCTGCAAGGGGGCCCCCTGGGAGAGACGAAATCCCATCAGAGGTTCTGAAGAGTGGCAAACCAGTTCTGCTGCCTCATCTCCACAAGCTCCTGTGCCCATGCTGGGAGAAGGGCCACATGCTCCAGGACATGAGAGATGCCAACATTGTCACCCTCTATAAGAATAAAGAGGTGACCACAGCGACTGCAATAACTACCACAGCATCGTCAGGAAAGTCTTTGCCCACATCATCTTGTCACACCTGAAGAGTCTCGCCTCCCGTGTGTACTCAGAGTTGCAGTGTGGCTTCAGGGTGGGCCGATCTACAGTGGACATGATCTTCTCACTGTGCCAGCTGCAGGAGAAGTGCAGTGAGCAGCAGAAACCACTGTATATTTAGTGACCTGAGGAAGGCCTTCGACTGTCGCCAGAAGCAGACTCTTCAGCCTCCTGAGGGTAGGATGTCCCCCAAGACTGCTAAAGTCCTTCCATGAGGACATGCACAGCACAGTCTGCTACAATGGCAGGACATCCGATACCTTTCCTGTGAGCAGCGGCGTAAAGCAGGGCTGCGTCTTCGCGCCGACACTCTTTGGGATCTTGTCCATGCTTCTCCAGTACGCCTTCTGTGACTGCACGGAGGGCATCTACATCCACACTAGAGCAGACAGCAAACTACATCATCCATGAGGTCCTCATTCGCAAGATGCCATTTGCTGGCAATGCTGTGCTGATGTCCCACACGGAGGACAGTCTGCAAGAATTAGTCAGCCACCTGGCACATGCCTGCAAGGAGTTTGGCTTGACCATCAACCTCAAGAAGACCAACATCCTGGCACAAGACACCACCTCCTCCCTGGATGCTGCCATCAATGGCATGCATCTTGAGGTAGTGGACTCCTTCACCTGCCTCGGGCCCCGATCATCTCCAGCTCCCTGGACACCGAAATCAGCTCCAGGATAGGGAAGGCCGCCGCAGTCATGGCCAAGCTAAACAAGCATGTCTGGAACAACAGCCAGCTGACGGAGCACACCAAACTACAAGTCTACTGGGCATACATCCTCAGCACCCTTCTGTATGGCAGCGAGTCCTGGACAACTTACGCCAGTCAAGAGAAGGTTAAACACCTTTCACCTCTGCTGTCTCCTGCACATTAAGTGGCAAGACTGGGTCACTAATACAGGTTCTCCAATGTGCCAGCATCCCCAGCCTGTTCACACTGCTCTGTCAAAGACGTCTCAGATGGCTGGGGCACGTAGGCCTTCAAGGACGTCTGCAAATGTGACATGAAGCTGGCCGACATTGACCCTAACACCTGGGAGGCCACGGCTGACGATTGTCAGTTTTGGAGAGCTATAGTCAGTGACGGCGTCACAATTGCAGAAGCTGGGAGGAAAAATCAGCAGGCAGCAAAGAGAGCCAGGAGAAAAGACAGCCTCTACCTCTGTGTCAACTAGTTTCATCTGCGCTAAGACTGCCGCTCCAGAGTGGGACTACACAGTCACCAGAGGTGATGTAACTCCATCGCCTAAAATTAAAAAAAAAAAAAAAAAAAAAAAAAAAACGCTACTCTGTCTCCAGAGATGGATGTGGATGGATGCCGAACCAAACATTCAAATTCCTATCACACAAGCACTTCGTCAAGACTAGGAATTAACAATTGAAATTTACTGCAGTGTTGGCACAATACAGAATACAGATTTTTTTTATTTATAAAGTTTTATTTGAAAATATTGGTCCACAAATACAAATAGCATTTACATCCTGATTTCAGATGAAGGGCATCCAGTTGAACCATTTAGAAAGTTTAACCATTTTATATTATGCAAGATTAAAAACAGACAGATTGGATTGTTATTTATTTCATGCTTTCTAATTTCTTGTTAACATAGCGCTGTTAATCTTGAAGTATTGCAAGGCATGTCTAGAAAGGTACCTGAAAGTGGTAAATCTGAAATTCAACCTCAGATAAGATTAGCAGGGTGACTTGAACAAAAGCACAAGAATGAAATAAATTGATTTTTATCTACAGCCAAAAGTAGATCTTGACTTAGTTACATGAAATTAAGTTATTCCCATAAGGCAGAGTGTATCCTTTTGAATTGGTTTCTATTATAGAAGTGAAATGAAATAAAATCACAGCTTAACACCTAAAGATTTAGCATGGAGAGAAAGAAAAGTTTTGTTCAATTTCATATTTTTAAAAAGTTAAGTTATTAACTGAATTAGGTTTCATAATCCTTAACGGAAGTTCTGGAGTAGAAAGCTTCCTATTGCACAAGCTCATAATACTGTTCCAGAATACTTTCTATTGCAGAAGTAATAAAGTACTTAACCCTTCATATTCTTCCTGAAAAAAAAAAAAAAAAAAGTTTTATACAGTGTTTTTCTTCAACCTCCTTGTTGATGCAGGGGCAGGGGGAGGGGTGCTAACATGTTTCCAGCTTTAACCAAAATTTGTAAGACTCAAAAATAAAGATTTAAGTAATAAGAGACTGGACTTAAACCCAATAAATCTTACCAGTGTAGTGGAATGATTGATAAATCTTGACGGTGTGCTGGATCCATTTACTTTTAGTTTAAATAATACTGTCTAAATTTCAGAAGAGCAAGTTGCATGAACAAAAAAATAGCAAATTTTAATTAAGACTAAATAGTCAAAATTAATCTTATCAGATTAGGAATTAGTTTAAACTTTCAAATTTTTTCAAGTGCATTGATCACCTAGTGAGTTTAATTCAAAATAATTTTATATAAAAATATACTGCTTAATTCAGAATCAGTAACAAATTCAATACAAGCAGAACTGCCTCTAATTTTGAACATACAAAGATTCCCATGAAGAAATAGATTTGACAAGATTCAATACTGTTAGTAAAAATTACGTGTAATTAAGAATAATTAACCAAAATGTTGGCAAAAATCAGACGTTTGTGCTTGCAAAAAGCGTTAAAATTATGGTTTATCCTTTGACACTATTTTAAGTTTACTGTCATTCCTAAAAAAAAAAAAAAAAAAAAAAAAAAAAAGCCCGCAATGACTAGAATTGTAATAAAACATTAAAATGAATTTATGCCTTTTCTTTGTACAGAATTTACAAAAAATAGATTGCCAATTGATTCAAGCAAAAAGTTCATTTTCATAGTTCACATTTTCATTTAATAAATGTTTAAATTTATGAATAGAAAAATTGTTTTTATTTATTTCTTAATAAATTCCTAAAGGATAAATTTTGCATCAGTTCTAATTTTTTTATTCAAGGATTCAAATAAACACTAATAGTGTTTAATATTTTTTGTAAATTCTTAAATCACAGACTTTCATGTTTAGGCTTTATTACAATCACTAAAGCAAAACATTGAAGAGTTAAGGTAGTTAAAATAATATTGGCATCAAAGGAAGAACTAACCTTTTAACATTTATGAGCATGAATGTCCAAATTTGCCAGAATGTTAATTATAAAAATATCCCAAGTTACCTTTAATTTGGAATACCAAAGGAAATAAACATTAAGAATATTTCAGAGTTGAAAACTCAATTGCAGTTATTTTAAATTGTGTATTTGTAAGCCCAAATTGAATATGTAGGATTAAAAAAAAAAAAAAAAAAAAAAAAAAAAAAAGGAAGAATTTTATACTTTCAGCCATCATTAGTCAATATCCAGTTTTGTTACTAGCAAGACCCATTAAAAACCAGTTAAGTTTCAAGAATTAAAACCTTAGTTTTTACAAATGAAAGCACCACATCCAGGTCTAGAGGCAAACAGGGAATCTTCCACTTTGTTAGCTAGTTCTGGATTAGACAAGTAATATTCAGATTTCACTTTATCTAGAAAAGACTTCAAGATTTCTTCAGGCACCAAAGAAACTGCACATCCACCCCAACCAGCACCAGTTAGACGCGAGCCGAGAGCACCAGATTCCCTGAAAAAGAAAAATGAAATTAGAATCTGTTAAAGAAAGTTATTTTTAATAAGTAAAATAGTGACCAAGTTTTTAGTTTAATTACTCAGATAATTATTTTTAGAGTGTTCAAAATTGCCAGAGTTAGCACCTCCTCAGTTCCTTAACCCTTCAACAGGGGTCTCTCTCTCACCCCCTGGCTATAAATACTGGCTGACCCTTCGCCTCGATCTTTTTTTTCCTCAGGCCTTATACCACCCCCACATATGTGAGCTCTCACAGATGCAGCATTTCCCCAAGTTCTGGGAACATGCTAAGAACAATACACCTATGTACGAACACTCACCACAACACACACAATGTAACTATGTGCTTGTAACTTGTACTTGTTAATACATATATTTGTTTACATATATTTATCAGTCTTGTTTGGTTTTCTTTGGACTTAATTAAAGTTGAACTTTCTCATGTAGCTGGACCAGCTAGCCGGAAAATTTTAACCCATGTGTGTTTTACATACTCATCAACCAACGGTCTGCTACAAAATAAAATCGAGTTGACTAGTTACATCATGAAATTTTTTTTGAATTTGATTTTAACAAGTTTTTAACACACGCCTGTAATTTCAAAGTCAGCTGCTTTTGTTTCATTTTAAGCAGTAAAAAGAGATAAAAACCTCTCACTGATTTGTTTTTTTCCAGGGAGTTGTAAATTTGGGCTTTCACCTGATGGAAAAAAAAAAATATATATATATATATATATATATATATATATATATATATATATATATATATATATATATATATATATTGCATCAACCATGACCTCAAGACAACTTTGGAACCTCCTGCAATCTTTTTGAATGGTCTCATTGTTCAAGTTGGTGAATTCTGTCAATCCTTGCCTTCAGTTCAAGGAGTTTTTGCTCAACTGTGCCACACACATGATTGGTTGGGGTTGCAGTCTGGAGAACTAGATGGCCAGATATAAGGGGTGATGTGGTTGCAGAAATTGTCCATGACTGGCTTCTTTGTGGGATATGGTGGCAGACATAGGGTCTTCTAATAGATACCCTCTTGACCCAGGCCCTCATCAACAACTTTGGGAGTGCTTTTCTTATCAGAAAAGATCAGAGTTTTCAGAGCCACCATACTTTCATAATCATTATTAGACTCAAACTGAATCCTTTGCACTGTCCCCAGATTGACACCCAAACACTGAAATGTTTATATTGGAGCTTCCAGCACTAAGGTCAAACAGTATACCGTATAGCTTCCAAAGTCCTGGTGGAGTGAATTAAGTCTTTCTCAGATGTTGCCCAACTGAACCTACTAGAGTGTGCAGTTGATATAATTGAAAACAAAGCACATACATGAAATAGTATAAAATGGCAACAATTTACTTATCACACCTTGTACATAAAAGAAAACACTAGTTTTGGTGGGCTGATTTAAAAATCCAACATAATATACAACAAAAACACTCGAGTCTGGCCATGGATAAAAAGATAATTTTTTGTTTATGATCCCCACTTATCCTCAGAGATCAACACATTTTTCATTATATACAATTTTGTCTGTCACTAACCAAAAGAAGTCAGAGAGTATACATATTATATATGTAATATATGACCTGTTCAATGCTTAAAATAAAAATATTCTTTTAAATGAATAACCTTTCAAGGAAGTTTGTTTTCTTCATTGAAATACTGATTTTAGGAATTTTTTTTTTTTTTAGGCTAGCGACTTTTCAGGCTCCCCTAATATTAACTTTCAAAATGTGCTCTTATTAAGGAGGCACTGCAGACACAACTACTTTATATGAGTATCACAGTCTCCTTTGACATTAGTTTATACTTTCATTAAGTAAATATGTGACAGCAACATAGGAATAGGCATTTCCTTAAGGAAAGATCTGGCATTCATTGACTAAACAGCCAATGTCGGTTGAAACTTATCAGATCTTTATACAGAGTGCCACAAAAACACCTACATATACCTCCCAGTTAATAGCAAGACATTGGTGGCAATGAAGTCCACATCTCACTAATGTCTTTCCATTATGTGGGCAGTAATTGTAATGCTCCCTGTATTAAAATCTTTTCAGGAAAATAAGTTAAGTCCATTAACTGTTATTGATCTTTCCAGTATCGAGATGGTATCCTTCCTAACATTTTGTTCTAAGTAGTGTGGAACATCAACATGTCATTCGAGTTATATGTGCCATCCATTTTAGTTACTGTTGAATATCTTCAAGTGATCTGGTTTAATTTAAAGTGTTATTTGAATTGGTATGTAAACCTCAATTGGAGTGCTACTTTCAGCAACTAAATATTACTATACTTACTAGTAGAGCAAGTCAGAACTCAAAGTAAAATTGTAAGTGGTTGCATAGAAAGTCACATATCAGGGAAAAAAGTAGAGCTGTTACTTTTTATAAAACTGCTTTCCAAGAGAAACATTTGTGTACAATGTAGGAAAAGCATTGTTAACTTACAAGCAAATCTCAACCAGTTTATCTAATTCTTCACAGCTGCATTCATACAATTTGCTGCAACTTGAATGACTTTCATTCATTAAGCCACCAAGTTTTTGGCAGGCATCATCACTGGTCATGCCACAAACTTCTTTGAATTGGAATACACGATCTGCTTCAGCAAACACATGAGTTACACGGTCATACAACTTGAACTTCTCAACTGCAGATAAAAAAAAAAAATACATCAATTACATATCAGATCATTGCAAAAAATCCCATTTTCATTGTTAATACAAGATGACAACTTGACACTTGCTCATTTTGGTACTGATTTCTGGAATTTTCTACATTGAAACCTTGCATTGTTCATTTGAAAGTGACTTGATGTTTTGTCCACAAATGAAGGACAAAGAAAGAGGAAGAGTTGCACTTTCGCCATATTATGCTCTATGAATTTCAAGAAGGAGTAAATGTTGGAACTGGAACACAAAAAAAACATTCAGAAGATTTGCATCATGTTCTAGTACTGATGATAAAAAAAAAAAAACAAAAAAAAACGGTTTCGTAGATTTAATCAGGGTGATTTTAACCTCAATGATCAACCATGCTCCAGACTACCTCCCAACATTGAAGCTCTGCATGCCAAATCAAAGATTTTGATGAAGAGTTTGCTAATATATCAACTGCTGTTTTGCCATTTGAAGAGACTTCAGTTAGAAAAGAAAAAAAAAAAAAAAAAAATACACAATCCCCCCCCCCCCTCCACAACAATGTAAGACCACATGTTGCAAAAAACTGAAGAGTTGAAAACTCCAGTACACACTATTCTTGACTTGGCATGTTCAGATTTGTCTACAAAATTTAAGAGATGAGACCTGGCCTATACAGTCAGCAGAAAATAAAAGTACCTCCCCACACACAAAAAAAATTTCTATGAAAATGGCATCAACAAAATTGTAGAGAGATGGGAGTCAGTTATAAAGACAATAGAGGGAGACTATATATTTGATTAATGTTTTGGTGAGTATGTAAAATGGTTTAATTTTCTAATTGGCACAAACTTGCAATGATCTAATGCATATACTTTTCACATTTAAGAATATCATGCATTGAGATTGATGAAATGCACAGGATTGTGTGTTGACCACTTCATTGTGTTCATTTACATAGTTTAAGTAAATGAGTTGCAGGGAATCATGAGTTGCCTCCCTTGTACAGTTTGACCGTTTTAGTGTTATTACTCATTCTGTTAGAAAATTAAACATTTGAAAAGTTATAACAGACAACAGAAATCATAAACCTTTAGTGGAATATGACTTTCAGAAACTAAGCAAAGCATTAAGAAATGGGAAAATTGTTGAAACAAGATAAAGTGCTCGACTTCATATCAATATTCGAGCATAGCAGGGAATGCTGGGCAATTTCAAAGATGAAGATACTTGAGGCAATAGATGTGGTTCTACAGAATACCATTAATGAACAATGGAGCAATGAAGGCTTAAGTTGTAACAAAAGAACACCCGCTTAGGATGAAAGTTAAAGCCTGGGTTGGGGGGGGGAGGACATGAGAAAATAAGCTTGGAGAATTTGACACTAACAGGACATTGAGAATAAAAGCAGAGAGAAACAGTAACATTATGAGTTTGTTTAAGTGGAGGGCAGTTCATAAACAGGATAGTAAAGAAATAAAAATGCTAAAAAGGGTTAGAAAGTTGTGGAGATCCATGATCACCCAAGAGAACTCATTCTGCTGTATCAGCAAACAGATGTTTCTGTAATATGCGTGCACACACAGCGATGGGTAAATTGTCGCCATTTTACACATGCGTTGATTTTTTGATTGTCAACTGCACAGTATAGTAAGGTCAGTTGGGCAGTCTGTGAGAAAAAGAGCACTGATAATTCACTGCCAAAACTTTTGAAATGGCATGCTGTACTGCTTGGCATTTGTGCTGAAAGCCCCAATAAGAACATTGGAGAGTTTTTAGGTGTCAGTGAGGGCAGTGTGGAAGATTTGAAGAGTTGGACAAGCCTAATAGTGATTATGAAGGTGTGGAGTGATCATGACATTATGACCCCATTCATCCTCTCACAGGGCCTCAGACTCAACACAAAGGCCTACATCAAATGCCTTGAGGTAGAGCTACCCTGGGCCCTCTTGGCCCAGGGTAGCTCTACCTCAAGGCAGGAGAACCAAATCAAATCATGGTATAGACTCATAGAATATCACCCTAGAGCACTTAACTTTATGATCACCCTGAAGCCCACAAAATGGGTATCGCGATGCATCCCATCATGGGAATATACGTCCCCATCACTTATAAACTGGCAAAAGCCATAACAAAAATTCTAACCCTTCTTTGGAACAATCAGTTGATCTTGTATAAAGTTTTTGTTTTTATTTTTAATTAGTTTCCTAATCTTCTTTTGATGTATATGAAATTATATTTTATATAATAAAATTTAAATTCTTATTGATGAAGGAGAAGCCATTGTCAAAATGCAAGAAACAACTGCCCAATGAACAGAATTAAGAGTTTGCAATATAAAGAAAAATGGGCCAAAATGAAATTTTATCAAGCAAGCAAACAATATATGTAAAGTAAATAAACAAGTAAAAAAAAAAAAAAGTTCAAACTATGTGTATACAAAAGTAAGGTCAGACAAGCTAACAGTATGTGTGTCTAGTAGATAAGGCAGATCTGGACTGAGTTATGTCAAAACACGAGCTGTCTCATTTTATTGGCTAAGAAAAATATCCCAGCATGCATTTTGTGGACTTTTGCCTATAAAAGGGGAGGGGGGGAGTTTTGCATCCATTCCCCTTTTGTGGAAATTTTTTTTAATTCATGGGCTGTTTTTTAGGACCCTTGTATATTTGTGGTGTATGCAGGATTGAAAGGTGATGGATGAGTTCTTGTGGTGAATGTGTAATTGTAATTCATGAATGGGTCATGATTGTGGTTAACTAGGAATAGGATAGCTTGTGAAAGACCAGTCTTCTCCCCACTTCCCCTTTGGCTTTCTGCCAGAATTTTGAATTTTTTTTTTTTTTTTAACACAAAATATATTCCCCTTTGTGGAAATCAACTCTTACCATGTAAAGTATTTTCACTTAAGCTGGTATTAGCCAGTTCTTGTGGGCTAACTTCAAGCAAAGAGCAGATCTCCTCTTTGGTATATGGATCTGGGTGAAGCAGTTCCTTTGCACAGGACAGCATTTCCTTCAAGTCATATTTTAGAGCCTCTTGAATTTCTGAAAGTTTTCTTAGACTTCGCCAATCAAGATTTTTCTTTTTAGCAATTATCTAGAAAGAGAAATTCATTTTAGTATTCAGTTATGCAATTTATATTTAAACTTTGCATTAAAAAGGTTTATGAAACTAAAAGGAGTAACATCTCCCTTTTGCCATTCAAAGGATGTATTAACTGGAAATGCATAAGAGTTCAGATTCTAGACACCTTTTACAATAAGTATCATGAGACTCAAGAAAAGCTTTGAACTTGAATGGAAGTTTTAAATTAAGTATATCTGTGGCCATGATTTAAAAATTAGATACTAAGTTTAAACCAACTATTTTGCCAATGGTTCCCAAATGGTGTGGCAGAAGTGAGTGAGAAAAGGATTGGAAAAAAAAAAATAAATAAATAAAATAAAATAAAATAAAATAAAAGATTTAGATACAGTTTCAACAAGTTCATATGCCAAGAAATAAATGATTTCAAAATTTATTATGGATTACTTGTAATTGCATGCCCGAGTCACAACATAAATAGTTATAATTATTGACTGATTTTATCATTGATATTTTTGCATTATATCAAGTATTAAAACTATAATAACTAGGGTCTGCAAATTAGAGGACAGAGTTATCAATAATGTTCTGACTTTGAACCCGGTTATCTCACTTTAAGCCTCTTTATTTTTAAAGATATCACAAAATTTGGTGAGGCACAAGAAAATTCCAAAAATTCTGCCCAGAGAAAAAAAATTTTGGAACCACTGTATTATGTAATGTTTTCACCAGAAAATAAAACTAGAAATCTTCCTTTATGAGTGGGATAAATTTTACCGTTATGTAGGAGTGGCTGCCTCATCTATTTGTCTAACTGACCATTCTAAATGTGCAAGATATTTAGTATTTGCTTAGCAAGCCTATGCCAAATTAAGTGTACAATAAGGCTATGATCTATTAGAAGTTATAATTTCTTTATATTCCCTTTCATTGTCACTTTATATTTTTAAGTGGAAATATGAAGAGAAAGGAATCTTGAAATAAGTGCTCAGAATAATTGGCATTTATTCAATTCTGAAGCCATATAGCCAATTAAATTTTATTCTAGTACTTTTCAACTTTTTTCAAGAACTGTGTGGTGTGATATGCAAGCTTCTTTTGGCCACATCCTGGTATTCTTTAGGAAGCTGAAGATTTAAAAAGGAAAACATGGTGACGTTGCATGTAACAGTTAAAGGGAAGAAGACTGCACTCAAAAGAGTGCTCTTTTTTTACTTATACACGCGCTTAGTATTTCATATTGCTATGATACCTAGACTTTGGAATTTAAGCACAGTACTAGACTGGTCTCAAGATCATCAGTTTACAGTTGAGCTGGTTGGATGTAGCCATAAATTCTATGCTAACAGTTTATTGCACTTCTTGCTTGTGGAAATCCCTTCTGGCTCCATGCTTTCCAGCCAGCCTTAATCTGCAAAAATTTAAATACAATGTCAATCACTATTGTCTTCCTGATTACTCTTTTCTCTTCCCATTCATTAAAAGGTTTCTGTTCCTAGTTCTTACACACCCATTTACCACTTGTGTCTTAGTGGCTTTACTGCCCTGCATGGGGTGGAAATGATATAAAAAATATCCACGATGCAGTCTGCTGTGGTGAAAGATTGAATGTGTGTTTTATGAATCATCTTTTACCAAAGTATACAGCATGTTTGAGTGCATATGAAATATTTACCATGTGTATAAGAAAAAGAGCACTCTTGAGTGGAGTCTTGCTCTGTTACATATGACGTCACTATGGATTATTTTAAACTTTCAGCTTTCTAAAGAAAGTCAGGATATAGCAAACAGAATTTTGTCTACCAGAGAGAAATGGTTGAAAGTACTTTAATAAAAACATGAGTGACTGATTAAGTTTTATGTACCAGAAAATTTTGATACAAGTGACCATTTTCTTTCAAGCGGGCTAAATCATATTTTATAGAATAAAGATTGCTTGCCTGAAAGTTAAATTTCGGGCTCAGTAATAAATAAAAGTTACCTGTGCTCCAATTCTGCTTTCTACAACACGAACATTAAAGTGACAAGTTGCTGCTTTGTGCATCATTACACAGCTGTTGCTAACAACAAATACAACCCCTGGAGGCAGTTGCACAGGTGTTGCAGTTAGGGGGTTGAAAGATATTAGTTTGGCCTGGAAAAAAAAAAATATCACAGCTGTAGTGTACATGTTAGTAGAATAGTTATTTAAACTAGTAGGTTAAATTTTAACAAACATGGATCATACTGGCAAAAGAGAGAGAGAGAAAAAAAAAAAGTTTTTCAATTGACACCATTATTTTAACTATGTTCACTCCCTCGGTAATGTTTATTTACAAGTAAAAATTTAAAAAAAAAAAAAAAAAAAAAAAAAAAAAAAAGCCTTTTTTATAAAGATTTATTTACCATTTTATAACTACACCTGTATTTCAAAATTTATAATTATAGTTACACGTCATTAAATTTTGTTCAAACAAATTTATCAATAAAAAGGAATTTTCCTATTTCTTTTATACACATTGCATTAGTTGATTCGCATTTTAATGTTGTAAATATAAATTTTTGTAAATAAAATGTTTAACATGGTCCGTGTTTTCCGAAGTTTTTATGAGTTATCTCCCTTGAAGATTTGGCTTTAGAAGAATAGGTTTTTCTTTTTACATAATCATTTTATTCAATTCAGTCATAAAACATCGACGTATTGGCCCATCAGGTTTACACAAGTAGTGTACACAAATTCAAGAAGTTACCTGTCCCGGCTCTGCCATGAAAGCGATTGATTGGTCCATTCCACCACCTTCTGTACCACAGTAGTGTTCACAGACTGCACAGATTTCAGCCAATCTGGTCTTGAAAAGGAAGAAAATAAAGAAAATTATCAGAATTGTCTAGATTTTTGTATTATTTATACCTAAATGAAATTAGGGTAATTAAGTGACATTTTAGTATTTTTTTTTTTTAAAGTCAAAATTGAATACAAAAATCTAACAGTATCTATATAGGGATAAAAGATACTAACCATTTCTGAAGTAGTAATGGAATTTTTTTTTTATCATTTACATTTTATCACTTAATTTTAATACTCTGCATTATTAATATTACTCCTCTTTCCACTGCATTCTTTTTCAAAGCCTCTCAATTGCAGTAACCTATTGTTAATTTAACTCAAAGGTGAGTTCTTGCCATAGCAGGATATGTCAACACATTTATGAAATTCAGAGATCAAAGTCAGCTTTAATGGCATGATAAACTTTTTGCACAACAAATGAAGTTATATACAGAGTGATAAAGGTTAAACATTATTTTTGAGTAACCACATGATTTATTTGGTTTCCTGAAAGAACCTGCAATGTTCTGTAGAAGAAATACTAATATTATGTTAGTTCTTCAGAAAACAGTTCTTCTGGAGGGTGGCCAAAGAAATTAAAGAAACAAAAAACCCAAGGATAATGAGTGAATTTCTTGAATTAACCATTTATATCCTTGTACCAAGTGCAAAGAAATGGCACAAAAGATTATAATCACTTGTTTTAGATATAAAAACATGAATAGCCAGTTTCATGCTTAGTGACTTTTCAAAATGGGCACTTGTTTTTTCAAATCATTTCACCCCAAGTAAGGCAATGCAGCACTAGGACACCAGGAGTTACCAAGTGTTAGAGCATGAGAAACTATTAAGGGGAAGACAAAAAGATTAACAGAAGATTGAAATGGATCTTCAAAAATTTTAAAATGCAAAGTTCACTGGGAAACAAGAAGCTAGAAGATTTCCATTAGTGAAGAATGCAATAGATTTTAGCATAAAATCTATGCATCTTGCCATTTCAACAGTAAAATGAGACCTTGCTGCCAATCTAGTATAGCACTTATATTCATAATGTTTAGGTACCATAATGGCAAGATCAGGAAAAAAAAAAAAAATACCATGAAATTTATTGAAAAGACACAGGTAAGCTACATTACTGCAGTTTATTTTGAATGCACCTGGAAATTATTTTCACTTTCATTGTTTATTATCCATATTCTTAAGTCCTGTAGACTTATAGGATTTCCATGCATAGATCAGTATACACCAGTCTATTATAAAAAGGTAGCTTTTCATTTATGTATCATGTCAATCCCAAGCAAAGTGATAATACCACTAAAATGCAAGGTTGGTGAGAGTGGGGAAAATATATTATACGAGTACTACAAGTAAAAAAAAAAAAAAAAAAAATTAAAATAGAACTTATGGTTACATATTTCAACAGTAACACAGGATCTAGTTGCCAGTACATATTGTATAACAACAATGTTAAAATGTAAGTTTTCATAGTTGAAAGGTCTGTTGCATATAGTGCTGGGAGAGAATTTCCGAGGTCAAGCATCCAGATTATTTTGAGGCCCCATGATCAGAAAAGGAGATGCTGGGACAAACAATCTACTGTCATACAAGACTGTAAGCATGTGTCTAGAAGGATTGTGATATGTTAAATATCATTTTTCTATTAAGGTCTTTATTTGTATTAATAGATATTCATAATTTTGCTCTACTTTATGTAAAGAAGCACCCCCATCAAATCCCAAAAAGTATTTTCTCAAGGCCCCTCATGTTTTGAGGCTGGCCACATTTGTGCCAGCTGTCCTTCCCTCTCAGAGCCACTGGTGGCATATGGGTTCACTTCTAAATGTTGCCAGTGTGGATATAGTGTAGGATTATTATTTTATTGCAAACTGGGAATAAAATGAACTGACTCAAGGGTTAAAATATGCTTATTTTCTTTAGAGTGAGGAGTCCTTTGGTATTTGGCATGACAAAAAGTTCATTAATCAGGTGGATATTGATAGTAATCAGGTAAAATGCCAGTTTGTGGTAGTTTTTGAAGTAAGACAATGGTAGGGATAGTAATCTCAGAAATAAAGTCAATGTCAATCTGTTTTCTTAGCTTTAACAGGGTGGAAATGACAGTAACAGATGACCTTGACTTGCTTTTTCACGAGTCATGCATTGCTGTGTTGTGTAGAGTCATCTGTTATGCACCCACCTCTCTGGCTTAGGTGTTAGGATTTTTTTTTTTTTACATCTTTTTCAATACACTTGAGAATTTGTTGCAAACAAAGTCTTTGTGCCAATTTTTTGCTGCATTTTATATATTATATATAAAAATGGAAGTTATGCATGCCTCCTTGATTTGGGACCAGGTTCAGCCTTTTCTTCCTCTTTGAAGAGAAGAAAAAAAAAAGGAAAGCACAAATGCCTTATTTTTATTTATATATTTGTAAAATACATCTATTGTATGTCTTGGTACACAGTGATGTTTCTAGCAGAGGTTCATTAGGGGTTTGGGGTTGTTCAACATCATACCCCCTCTCCATGGTAACCCAGCCAATACTGATCAGTGTACCTTCTGTCTGTTACAATTTTTTTTTTCCCATCTTCCAGACTACACACTTTAAAGAAAACACAAATAAACACAGCCACAATTTCTAACTGATCAGGAATTTTGCCGTGTGCTTGGCTTCAAGTGGTAAGTACTAATTTGATTCTCCTCACCGAGACACACAAGAAAAAAAAAAAAAAAAAAAAAAAAAAGCTTAAGCCTCACATTCTGCTTACTCATCCTATTTTCATTCATGTTAATCATCTGCTGACAAAGAAAAGATTAATCTCAGGAATCACTATAGATTTAAAGTGGCTCATTATCTTTACATTATTTACCAATTAAAATAGATCATTATACAATACAAACATCAGAGTAAGGAAATTCTCAAACCTTTGTAAACTTTATGCCATTAGCATGTGCAATGACAAGTGCAGAACAGCAGACAAGAGCACTAGAGCTGGAGAGTCCAGCACTTTTAGGGATATTTCCATCAACCATACATTGCAGACCATGTAGCTTCTTTGCTTTGCCACTATCTTTGATGCCTTGAAGTCCACAGAGAAAATAAGTGTACCAAGCAGCAAAGGATTTGTCAATTACATGGCCAACAGAACATTCATAATCTCTAAGGAAAGAAAATAGAATTGGTTAGTTGTAATAAAAGGGATTACAAAGAGACATCAGGGAATAAATAAAATTGTTTTGCATGAAGCAATTGACTTTAGTAATATAAAGTAAGGATGTGCAAGTGGTGTAATTAATAGCAGCTTGAAATAGGAATTGGAGAGCAGAGTTCAAATTCCAGTGGAGTTTGTTACATTCACTTTTGTGCAAATACCCTTGAGAAAGGTATGAATTCATTTCTCTCCAGCCATGGATTAAACATGACAGACCGGACCCTATAACCTTGGTTGGTAAATAATCTAGAACTGAATTCAAAACAGCCAGGAGCAGGCTCTCTTGCCAAACACACACCATTACAGCTGTAATAAATATGGTGCCCTTATAACCATAATGGGTTATAAAACCCATGATTGGCAATGCAAGTTAGAACCTGGTAAATTTGTCATTTTATACAAATGTTTACTATGACTGTATCAGCAGGGCTCCAGTCTAACTTATCACTTACCCAAAATAAGTTTTTAAAAAAAAAAAATAAAAAAAAAAAGCATTGAGACATGTATGTTTTTTGATCCACTCGGTGTTTAAAACTACTCTGTACCCTGCAGCCACTGTCACTGCTTCTTTGGTCATATTGACAAGTAGGAAAGTCCAAACCAAAAATTGACAAATAACTTTGCTTTGTTATTAAAGCAAAATCAGTTCTTACAACTAGATACTAATTTTTTCACATTTGGCGATAAATACAAATATCTAAATTTAAGTCCTTCAAATTTCATTCAGGCTAAAAAGAAACATTTAAGGTTGGCATGCATGCTCTATTAGAAGACCACTCATATTGTCATAAAAATTTTATTTTTATTATTTTAAAAATGTTATAATTGTAAATGTAACATCAGTTTTGTTTTTTGAGAGAAGTGCATTTTTACAAAGGCCAGTTTGTGTAAGAAATTGTTGCAAAAAGAGAGACTGCTATTTAGCAAATTCATGGCAGAAACAAAGAAAGAACCATCGACAAGACTATTTATATTACTTGGACTATTGTCCTCATCTTTGTCGCCATATTTATTACATTTCGGCCTTCTTCAGGTGGTTGGAATGTCGAACTGAACCCTTTATTTTGTTCGCTGGGGTAGACTGTTCTAGTTCCACGTGCCATGTTTAAGGGATGTCAGTTATCTCCTGTTAATTCCCCTCTCCAAGTTCTCCACTGCCTTAACCTTAATGTGAGGACACATGGCACAGTGGATAAAGGCATTAGTTAGATCCAATGACAGGACCCAAAGAGTGCAAGTTCAATACCTGGTTAAGGCAGTGGAGAACCTGGAGAAGAGAATTAACTGACATCCATCAAACATGGCATGTGGAACTAGAGCAGTCTACCCCAGTGAGTGAAATAAAGGGTTCAGTTCAACATTCCAACCACCTGAAGAAGGCTGGAATGTACAACAGCCGAAATATGGTGATAAAGAGGAGGACAATAGTCCGAATAATGTAAATTCGGTACATAATACCTCATCTCAGAAATATAGACAGATACTAAGGCAATTAACAGTTGAAGAAGGTATTAGTGCCCAGGCTTCTAGAAATCAACACTGAGAAAGAAAGAGCTGACAGATTCAAACTTCTGTACCTTCCTGAGATGAATTTGAACCAGCAGAACTTAACTTTCCAGCAAAATACTTCAAAAAGGCCCTCTAGATAACTTGTGAAAAACAAAGACCCATTTGTGCCGAGATGTTCTATTATTAAGTATTCTGTTAAGAACAGGTGGGTGTGTTTTGTATTTTCTGCCTTGTGCAATTTTTGCTTCCAGAGTTCTCCCTTTTTCATTTAAAAAAAAAAAAAAAAAAAAAAAAAAAAAAAAAAAAAAAAAAGTGTAAACTTGTCTGAATTCATGTCTTTCAAAAAAATTGAAAGATTTTCCTAGTATCTGATGGTAATCCTTTTGTAATCTCAGAATATTGTTATCCTGTCACAAAAGGAAATTTTTATGCAACCTTGTATTTAAGGTGTTTTTCCTTTCTAAAATTTGATGCACTTGTCAGCTTTTGTAATTTTGCACCTAATAGGTTTTATTGGTTGTTGTTTCTGTTGTATATGGCACAAAAACTATCAGAAAAGTTTTTAATGATGGAAAAAAGTTGCTTTTAGAATAGTGTGTGTGTGTGTGTGTGTGAGTGTGAGTGTGAGTGAGAGAGAGAGAGAGAGAGAGAGTGAGTGAGTGAGTGAGTGTGTGTGTGTGTGTGTGTGAGAGATTAGGTAAGCCAAAATATTAAAAAACAAAAAATTGATAAGCATTATTTACCAATGCAAAGACCATTGAGGTACCAAGGTTAATGTTATGGCTATCTAGTTCATGGTATTTGAGAAAGAGTTACTGAAAACATTAAACTTACTCAAATTCAGGATTCTTATTTGACAATGAGATTTTGTCATCCTTAGTCACATGAGCAGCAATAATGATCGTTTGTTCCACAGCCATTGGCAAGACAGAATAGCCACAGTAGTCAATATGTTCTCCTTCAGAAAAAGTGAAAAGGAAAAAAAATGTCAATGTTAACAGCTTATCAAATTTGAGAATCTATAGTAAATAGGTTCTTACACGAAAGAAACTTCCTTTACAATACATTGCCATTAAGTTTGCATCAAGTACAATAAAGAGAAATTATAGGATTTTGTAATGCAGAATCCTAACACACGACAACAATGCACACAAAAACAAACACCTGTTCTATATACTCAAGTGATTAGCTCATTAAAATAAATCAATCTCCATTTCTTGTGGAGTCTTTTTAAGACAAAGAAAAATGCAATAAGAATTAGATGACAAAATCCATTTTTAAAAGTTTCTGTAAAGGGCTATTTCATTGCTCTTGAAAGATTTACCCTGCTTCATATAGATATCTTAAATTTTGTTTTACAAATTTTCTCCAAGTCTTAATTGGGGAGGTATCCTTAAAACTGGAGGGTTAGAAATGTTAAGTGATTGTACAAGAAATGCAAAATTAGTCAGACAGACAAATGCATTAATACCATTTTACACTGAAACAAATTTTACATTTGTACAGAATATTAATTGGCTGAGAATTAAAATATAAACAGGACTTCAGTTATAGATTAACAAGTTCATTCAACACTATTGTGCTCATGAAAATAGCAATTTCATTCTAAATATGAATATTAATTTTATGAAGCCAAGCAACTAATTTTCAAATTGGTGTTTCAGCTGAAGCACAAACAGAAACACCTTTACAAAAAGATCAAGAAATTTGATCAGACCATCAAAGCCTTAATAGTAAAGTTATTTACTCAAAATTTAAAATAAATTCAAGTTGAATGTCAAAAAAAAAAAAAAAAAAAAAAATTTGACTTTTCAAATATTAAGTATTAGTTTTCTCTATAATTATTACTACCCAGCTGTAATGAGTCCATTTTAAGACCTCAGTTCTGATTTAAACAGGATTAAAAAAAAAAAAAAAATTGATATCTACTTTAAAGTAGAGAGAATGGTTAAAATTACTATAAACACTTAGGGTCTCAGGCTGGCTCATCAAATATTAGCTGGGATTATTTCCAGAAGTACCTTGTATAAATATAATCAAACAAGCATGATGCAAACATGTTTGGCCAAGACTTTCTATTCTGATCTTTAGATTGTTCATAATATTGATACAAGATCATTGAAGTATTTACAGTTAGGTGATCACCACTTGACCTACATTAGAAGATTACAGACTTGAAAATTCAGTGAATAATGACTAAACTGCAGCATGATCAAGTTTAGCATAGATTCAATTAGTTTTATCCAAAACTTCAGTTTTGAGAAGCTGCCAATTGATACAGGACAGCATTAATATTAAGTTGACCATATTGTGTTTATATATATATATATATATATATTATATTATATGTGTGTGTGTGTGTGTGTATTTAGGCAGCAATCCCTCTTTTATACATGTTTTATTAAAGACAGCTGACAAAGTACTGGGATTGAACTTTTTATTTAATTTTCCTTGTGTTTACACATGCATTTTCTTTTCTGGACACAAAGTATGTAAAAACTGTAAAAATTCTGGATTTCCAAGCAATTTCGTCTATTCTTTTAGTCATTACCAAAAAAAAAAAAAAAAAAAAAAAAAAGTTATAGGAAGGTTTTATTTTTCAAAAATGGTCAGCACATTGTGGCCATGTTCATAGTTAAGGTTATTTAGTGTTAGCATTTCCTTTTTTATTATTAGGGCTTCTATTGTTTTAAAAAAAAATTTTTAACACTTGGATGAGGTTATTATAATTGTATTGCCTACTAGTAGGTTTTGGATGAAGTCTAGTAGTTTTGTGTGTGTGTTTTAAATGGAGTCCTGTGTGTGTGTGTGCATGTGTTAGAGTATCTGTAAAAGGAAAAAACTTAGCTAACTCATTTCATCCCCTCAGGGATTATCAAGGCAAATGTAAGGATTTTGTTTTGTGACAAGTATTTATATACAAGAGCCAAAATGTTATTGGTTTAATTTTTTTTTAGGTATAGGAGTGCTCACGAATAATCATTAGGTTAACTGAAAAGGCAAATTCATAGACATGAGGTGAGATTTTTATTTATACAAGTACTAAACAAATAAACTACTAACCATTAACACTAAAAATGAAACCTTAGATAAATGATATGATATAAGCAAATATTTAATTTACTGCCTGCATGCACAGTAGTATATACATATTAAAACAAAGAAAATGCTAAAACCCAACCAACCATAATACCCTAAAAAAAAAAAAAAAAAAAAAAATCCAATCCTAACCTAATACTCAAGATACCAAACCAAATAAAAGAAAATTTGTCAAATAAAAATATTTTTCATTCATTCTCATATCAATTATTTATGTAAAAATTTTCTGAACAAGAAAATACCATAAGGCTCAAAAATTAAAAATGATTGAAAATAGAGAAAAAGAAAAACCTGAAATAGCTATAATTGAAAGAAAAGAGTGAGGAGGAAGTTAAGGAGTGAGTGTAAAGTGGAGGAAACAAAAAAAAAAAAAAAAAAAAAAAAAGTCTAAACATCTTACACACATGCACAGATGGGTGCACACACACAAACACCATATGGAAAAAACCTTGAAATGCTAAGTGCATAAGAAATATAAGCAGCCAATTGCTGATAAGAGTGGATGGACTTCTGTCTACGAAACTCTGGAGTCAGGATGCTGAAGGTAGCATCAATCAGCTATGTGATGAACTTTTACTTATATTAATTCTATATATGTAAATTAGTATTTAAATTATTTTTATTGGGATTGATGTGTTATATTTTGAACAACATGGTTATAGATTTTAAAATTTTTTTTAGTATTTGTGGTCATGTATCTGTATGGGGAAGTAGCAATTCTTTCAGTAAAGATACTGAAAGAATCCAGGGACATCGATTTATATTTTGGTAAGATTTGATAGAAGGAAAAATTCTCTAAAGTGCTGCTAAGTTCTTTTTGTAAAAAGTGGCACTTGCAGTTTTCCTTTTATAAATAAAACTGGATTTTTCATTTACACAGTATTAATAGGAGGTTCAATTATTTTACTCCCTGTTGATCTTAAGTATGAGGGATTACCCCCATCTTGTCTACCAACTAGATGGTAGTGTTCAGGACTATAAAACCTTTTCCTTTCTCTAGATGTAGTAGGAACATGGCACTTATCCAGGGAAAGTCACCTGTAAACTTAGTTCCAAAATACAAAGGAGTGAGTACAGAAACCTTTTAAAAAGCTCCCTTTTTCTGCCATCCATGTATATACAAGTATATATAGTACTTATGTTAAAAGCATTTCTTCTGAATAGAAAAGAAGAGTTGAATTTCTTTAACCTTGTACATTACAACCTGTAGCACTTATCTGCAGAATTAAGTTTGAAAGTAAAAATTTTTACCAATAAGATTAACTCTTCCTGGTACAGAGGCAAAAAACTGGGGAAGTTTGCCATACTTTTCTTTGAAGTTGTTTGATAAATCTTGATATCTGAAATAAAAAAAATCAATTGCTAGTAAGAATCATGCTTTAGTTATTCTATCAAAGGCACAAGCCTAAATTATATTTAAACCTAATTAAGCATTATCACAATTGATAATAAAGCACACTTAAGTGACTTTTAGAAATGTTAAACTTTGCCACAAGTCTAGTGTACTCCAGATTAAAATCATTTAAATTATCTAGCTCAACAACCATTAGAACTACCCTGATGTATCCACCATGTTGAGAAGCTAGTCAACTACCATAGTTTAAGAATTCAAAAACGATTTCCCAGTGAAATATGGAAATTTATTCAGTGTGAGAAATACCAGCCTTATTTACATTAGTTCAGAATGTTAGCAACAGATGTAAAAATTAAGAAATACTTGGTTACATTCAAACTTGCTTCTCAAGTGTCTATTGACTAGAGTTATATCTTGCAAGCTAATATTAGTTCATTTTAAAAAATGAGGCGGCGGGGGGGGATGCAAATTTAAAATATTGAATAATGTCAATTTACTGGTCAATGATATGAGACCTTCTGTTATCCTCTTTTCTTGAAAAAAAAAAAAAAAAAAGGGCTGCAACCAAGTCAGAGGGAAAGAGCTAACTAACAACTAAATTTCAACTTGAAGGCAGATTCAGATATCAGGACAGAAGATTCTGGTTAACGTCTTCCAAAGAAGAATTTGAACGAAACCAACATTAAAGTTGAATTTTTCAGTAAAAGACAACCAAATCCTCGTGACAACAGCCTGTTAAAACCATAAAACTCCTGCTATGCTGAGACATTCCTATTCGATTGTAGGAATTAGGTCAGTGCGCTTTTGTATGTTTTTGCTTTGTGCAATTTTTGCTTCCTGAAAAAGTTTTAAAAACGGTATTTTGTTGTATAAGGGTTGTTCTATCTTATAATACACGCAAAAAAAAAAAAAAAAAAAAAAGGAAATTTTTGTGCAAGAGTCTTTATGTAAAAAGTTTTATATTTACATTTTCTTCCTTTTTCTGTAACGTTTGTCCTTAGTTTTACGCATAAAGTTTGAATTTTGATTGTGCCTTATATAACTTTCTATTCCTAACTAGGTTAGTGTGTTCGGCACAATTTAAGTTAAGTAGGGAGTTAAAATTTGTATAGATTTGAATTTGATCTTTGGCCATAGTGGTAACCAGTCTAAGAGAAATCTGAATTCAAAGCCATTATTGCCAACACCAGGAAGGAACGTGGCATAAAAGAAAAAGTTAAAGGCTTAACGAACGTGAGACCAAAACAGCTTAACACTAAACATTTACTGAGTGTTTAGAGTAGACAAGTGCAAGAATTAGGAATTTGAAATACTTTGTACAACAAAGTTTGAATAATCTGACTGACAAACTACTAATCAAAGCTTTTAGTTTCAAGTTTTAACATTGGAAGTTGTAATATCCAAAGTTATTTTCCGCAAAACTTCAGGTTTTATTTTTGTACACTTTAAAAACAATTGGAAGCCGAGGATTGATTTACAAAATTTCTAACCTCAATGACGCCACAATTTATTTCTCTGCATAAAATTTCAATCCCAGCTTAGATGGACAAGACGTTTGATTTAAGAAGCTTCAGTCTTTGGCTAAAAACGCATCCCACTTGTTCAGAATCAAAGTACTTTTTAGTCCAATAACGTAATCGAAACAAGATAGGGTTTTTTGTGTATAGGACTTACAAGACAAATTAATTCTCGGTATAGAAAAAACAGAGATAAAAACCGATCCCGACTCCTAAGCGTCAGATGTTGCCAAGTATACACAGCGATTGATTTTTTTTAAGTTAATTTAATAATATTACCAATAGGAAAAATGTCAACCGGCAAGTACACATTGGCCAAGACATGCGAGGATCGATTGTGTGTGTGTGTGTAGTTCTGACGATGAATTTTAAAGTCGTTTATAGAGAGTCGGTTGAGTTAGTGTACTACTGTCTGTACACTACAGTTACGTGTCCCTGTTTAGGTGGAAAGGGACGAGTGTTTCTTCAACGTGTAACTTGCTCAAGATTTTTTAACACTACAGCATCTAACTGGCTTTTTTTTTTTTTAGGAAATCAAATTTCATGTTTATCTCCAATATAATAGTTTTTAGGATGTAGATGAAAAAAGAAAAGTTACGAATAAAATAAGCATTTATAAAAATAAAATCCAAGCGAATTCTTCTAGAGAAGATTTTCGCTACACTTACTCGCGCAATAATATTTATTTTTTTTTTTTTTATTTTTTTTTTTACTACAACACAAAATTCTTACCTTAGTTTTTGTTTATCATCCAACTTCGATAAGTCCTTTACGGGTGGGTAGTCACTGTCGTCAGGCATGATAAAGAAAGAAGTAGTAAACAGTTTAAACACGAAAAACAATGCAACTGCTTTTAAATTGCAAAGGGTGGCGGCGGCTACCGTGGAGACTGTACAAGTTGTGTTGACCTGTTAAAGCGACTCTAAATATACAAGTTTATTTTAATTTTTGTGAAACATACTTTGACCTACTATATTTTTTTTTTTTTTATAGTAGGCAAAAAAAAAAAAAAAAAAAAAAAAATCAGTGTTGATATGCACAAACAACAACAACCACCGCTATCAAGGGAGCGTAACTCTTATTTAGACCATGTGCGTTTAATTGCCATAGGAATGGATTTCTATCTTAATTTTTTTTTAGACAAGTCAATTTAATTAATAGCAATTCGAGACTCTGGTAAAAGATTTGTGCAGTAATGGAACAATGTTTTTTTAAAGCTCATAGCTTGCTCGAATAATAAAAAAAAAAAAGCACATGCTTTCAAGAGAAGCCTTAGTTCTCAGTTTGAGAAAAATAAAGCCACTGAAATTGAACATCAGTTCCCAGGCGCACAAAAAAAAAAAAAAAAAAAAAAAAAAAAAATGAAGTATTTTATTTTCCGTTGTTTCCTTTTAGATTCTTAATACTGAGGAGTCTGTAGGTTACATTCAAGAAAATAAGTACAAGCGAAAAGATTGTATTATTTGAAAGACAAAATAATTTTTATTTTTGTAACAAAATGGATATTTTCGGCAATGAAAGCGAGAAACATTTTTTTACGGAAAAAGATTCAAACAATTTCCCGGACGACTTCGAATAAATTTTACTGAATAGGTTATTTTGGAAAATAAAAAAAATCATACGGAAAATTCGGCGCGCCTCTTACCAAAAGAGTTCAAAAATTTTTGGGCATTGGTGCTTCTTACATTAAATTATTTTTTTTGATTCAACAAAAAAGTTGAATGTAATTTTCAAATGTGAATATTTATAATTTTTCTCTTTTCATTTTAGCAACTATTATTTTTGGTATGGATGTACAAGGAGAAAAAACAAAAAAAAAAAAAAAAAAAAAAAAAAAAAAAAAAAAACAATTGATATCTCATGTTGCCCGACTACTATTCAATCTGAGTATTATGATAATCTAGTTTCATATCTCCTGTTCAGTCAGTATAAAAAAAAATATTCGTTATCTTTAAAATACAACCGAAACATGTTTAAAAGTCGTTTAAGTTATTTAAAATTAAAATGCATTTTCAGTTTTTAGAAAGTCCGTGGCGGTACCCATCATTATGGCAGTCAACCTTTATCTGTCCCTCATATCCGAATATGTAACATCCCCATTCAGTAAGCCTCTACCTTGAGTGGCATCTTGTATTGAGCGGGCACAAAAGAACAGAGGCCGTAGATGATATGACGGGCAAGCGTTTGCAGCGAAAACTACAGCAATTATAACTATTCAGATCACCCAATATAAATTTGGTTTATAGCATCTTAGTTTAACAGAACAGAAGACATTTTTATTACTATACCGATATTAACACTATATTTCAGACGGAAAATACCTTTGAAAAAATTCCAGACAATTGGTTGATTGTTGTAAATGTAATGTTAGCAATCATAGCTAGCATCCATTCATTAGAGATTATACACCAATTCTTTATCCTAAATGGGAGTTTGACATCCATAGCTCACCTGGACGAATACAAGCATGTAAATTATGATATCCAGCTCCGCGCACCTACTTCCAGAATAACGCCCCCAAAAAGATAAGACATCTTTGACCAAAGAAAGACTAATTAAGTTTTTGAAAATAACTATTTCGGGCAAATGATAAATCTGCCTAATAACATTATCAGATCGAGGCCAAGGTTGTCCTTTTAGTTTTCAGTTCCAGCTAATACACGAGCACTAATAAAGATCTCCGTCGTGAGGCAGTGAACGTTAGTAATATACTTGCATTGAAAAGGAAGGTTTTCACATCGTTAAAAAATGAAGTCAAACGGCTGAAGTAATTGTCAATCGAATCATTCAGTCTTATAACCAGTGTATGATTGCAAAGGAAACAAACAAGGATTAAAATTTCAACAGCTTTATTGATGAATTTTTCAGATACATAATTAAGTGAAAAGGTGACAAAATTGCCGATATGCTTTTTAGTTGCCGTTGTTAAGGGATGCAATTAAGGGTGTTGGTTAGGCCGGGTGAAGGTAGCGGGTTGGTGGCCAAGGTCACGGGCGGGGGGCATGGAGTAGATAGTGAAGCTTGATCGAGCGGAATGCTAGATTCTGGTCGAATGGGAGATCAAACGAAAATGAAGCTGCGGTGGTGACCATGATAGGAGGAGGTGGTGAAGCTTGATCGAACAGAAATAAGTGTCGGAATCGAACAGAAACATTGAATTGACAGTGGTCACGTTGAAATATTTATTGTTATATATACAAACAAATGTGGCACATGGCCAAAAAGGGGGATTGGGGAATGACGGTCATCTTCTGTCTTTAATCAAAACTTGAATTGACCCAAACATGGTCACGTCACATTCACTGTCCACAACTGGTTTCCTGACGTCCTAGTCTGGTCACGTTGGTGACAACTGGCCTGGAAGTGTGTCAGTCTTTTATGAGGCTTTTTTTTTCTTTTTTTTTTTTTGGCGGAGTTGGAGACAACGTTCGTGATTGGCTGTTGTATTTTAAATTCATGTTAGGGGTAGGTCATTCGATCTGTGAATCGGGTGTAATGCTCGGGGCCCCTGCGGAGAAGACCAATTCATTATCTTAGTTTTTGTTTTCTTAGCACTCACATCGGGCCGACATGTAGAGAGAATCCGGAAAAGATCCAATTGCAGCGGAGTGCTTGCTTATCCTGGTCTCCCCCACAGAGACGGGATGGGGCACAAGGTTAGGTCTAACGTGGGGAAGCCGAGCGCGTACACCGGTCGAAGAACAAAGCAAAAATTGCCCAGACCCGTCACAGTTGCGCTGGCATCTGTACGACTACCTATCCTCCTTTTTAGTGCAAAGGGGGAGGGCGGTTCCTCGGGACCGGGCACCACGCAGTATTTATTTTCCTCAGCTGCGTCTGTCCGCAGACTGTCACAAGCGAAAACAGAAACCCTACCCTATACAAGGTAAGTAATTTCCGAACCTGTAACAAAGTAGTTACGATTTTACACTTTACTCAGAACATCTCGAGTGGGAATTTGGATATTAATTGAATTTGATAGTTTAAGAGCACAGGTAATAAATTGCTCAAATTAATTTAACTCGTGATATAGAAGTTAACGTTATAAATGTACAAGTAGGCATTATCGTTTCATTTATATTGCACAATAAAGTTAAGTGTTAGACTTTGAAACTTTCATTACTTTTATTTGGTGACACGTCGCATTAATTTTTCATTGGCCTAGATACTCAAGCAAGACCGTGGTTAGGTGGCACTAGGAAAATGGACACCGTTTCCCTGTTAGCATACAGTCAAAGCACCACTGGACTTTCCCCAGCATAGGGATATCTTTCCCCGGGTGAAAGAACTTTCACACGCATATATATATATATATATATATATATATATTTTCCTCGGTGAGAATGGGACATCTGAATTTCTTCTCTTCTAAAAGTTTTTCTTGTCTATCTAGAACTTGGCATGCGGACGAAAACATATTCGGATGTTTATCTCTTCCTTGAAAAAATCAAACACTTCGTTAACGAAAACCGAACAAAGCCTTTTTTCTGGTGGATTGAAGTTATGAAAACCCACCAGAATGTAGTGCCAATAAGGTGATCTGGTGTCGGTTTTTCGCTGAGGATGGCGGCCAGCCCAGGGATCGAAAATAGTCTGAGAATTTAGGTAAATATATTTTCATTGACAAAATCAGATTTAGGAAATATTGTTCGGAAGGTTAAATGATGATTAAGTTTCTCTTAACGGGTCGGATATACTGTACTATTATGGTTGGAGTTATGAAAACAAATTCTGTCATAGGTGGTCTGGTTCGTATCTTCGTTGAACAAGATGATTCCAGGAAAAAAGAAGAGATTCGGAGAATTAAAGTTAAAATCAAATTCGGTTTTTCAAAAAAAAAAAAAAAAAAAAAAAAAAGTTATGCATGTCCTGCAAAATTAACAGAAGTTCAATACTGAGAAGGAGGAAGATGCAGAATTTGACTCCACCTGTGTGAAGTAGTGGTGAGAGTTGTGAAGTAGAGCAGGTTAGAGTTAAGAGAGAAGCGATCCTTTTGGCTACTCCCAAAGATGGATAATTCTCCAAATTTGGAAAAATTGATTAAAAAATAAAAACCCTTATTTGAATTAATGAAAATAAAAAGAAATCGAATACTTCGGCCCTATGCCAGTTTTGGACCGAAGTGCATACAAGATGGCTTTGAGATGATCGATTTAGACTGAGAAACCGTATCGAGTGCTTTTGAAATCCACTCCGGCTGTCAGCCAGAATTCCAGATTCCAAGACTGAATCCAGCCTTCCAGAAATTTAGACAAAGCCCAGTATCACTAAAGAGATTGATGAGGGAAGTGTTAATTCTTGTTGTATCAAGAGCTAACTAAAGATTAACCCCATGAATTTTTTTTTCGCTTTGATATTCCCCCCCCCCCTAATATAGCAGCGGGCACAGCTCAACCAGCGCTGCGAGACTAAGACATTCGATCTTCTACTGCTCCGAGATCATAAACAACGTAGGAAGAGTGTGTGGATCGAATCGACCAACAACCAGCTTCGGCTAGCGTAGAGTTAGTCCGTAGTTAAAGCGTCGTACTTACCCTGTAGACCGGACCACTAAGCATGGTTACACCACTGGGTGTAGGCGGCGGTGAAAGGTGTTACATTTGGTGCTAGTGGCCAAGGATGTGACCCTGTTGCATGGGGGAGTGTTACAGTAAAAAGTTTTCATACATTAAATGACCCGACAAAATATTCAAGTGTTTAAAGCAAAAGGAGACACACATCTTGGATTGTTGAAAGTACTTTGAAATGCCGCGTGCTTGGTTAAAAGCCAATAATATGATTAACGAGTAATTTTACATTG